ACTAGAAATCACAACAACAACCATATAGTATAATTGAACTAATAGCTGGGGCTAAATGCCGGCTGAGTTGACCCCGATAGTAACTGGTTGTACTGCTTGGCAATTTTCCTGCTGCAAAAGAGAGTAACAACAACAACAACAATAAGATGGCACCAAAATCACCATTAAACTAACCATACATTATAATTAAACGCAGGAGCATTTGAAAACCACACATTTACTCAACAAAGCGCCTATGAACTCACTCAGAAACCGGCCAAGGAGCGGTAGATACCACAAACCCGTTTATATAAATCGGTCACTCGTTAATCATTCAGGACAAGGTGTAAACTCATCATGAATATAACTATAAGTATTTTTTTCACTTGCTTCCAGACCGTTTAACCAATCAAGGTAGAGAAATAAAAGGTCTGTTTGGGGAGCTTTAAGATTATGAGAAGCAGCTGCTAAGAAGCTAGCTGGTGAGAATCTGGAGAAGCTGGGAAATCCAGCTTATGGCTTCGAATCTGGAGAAGCTGGGAAATCCAGCTTATGGCTTTTAATTTATTTTCCAGATTCTACACCTACATATTTTCAGAATCTGGATAAAAAACTAGACTGTTTAGAGAGCTTCTGGCAACTGGACAACTGAAGATTCTAGAAGAAGCCGCAGCTGTTAGAAACTCCCCAAACATACCCAAGGTGGGAGAAGGCAAGTACCAGCTCTACTCTCGCGAGGAATCCGCGCCCCGAGCTGGGAGATCCTGGACAACATCGCCGCAGCCGGCTTCACTAACCAACACCACCATCTACCGAACCCTAGCAGCAACAATCCACGACCGTACACAAATCAGCCAGAACCGCGGGCCAACCAAGTAACCGAACACACCCAGGGGAGGGGGGGGGAGCAAGCGAAGAGAGACGAACCTTCCGGTGGCCGGTGGGCAGCGGCGGCGGCGCCGCTCTCCTCCCTTCCACGACGGCGGCGAAGTGGGAGGACGACGAGACAGAGAGTGTCGGAATTTTTTTTATTTATAATTTTTTTATTAAAAGTTTTACAAAAATAATTTTCCATTTTGAAAATTGACGGAAGGAGTCGCCTACCGCCCTCTGGGAGGGCGATTTTTAAAAATCGCCCTCTCAGAGGGCGGCGAAAATGACGTGGCAGACGGCCGTTCGCTCTCGGGCGACGGCCGTCAACGAAATTTGCAGGCGGCCCCCTTGCCGCCCTCCGCTAGGGCGATTTTATACTGTGCGGGGGGCCGCCTGCAAATTGGCGGCGAGGGGGGGCATGGAATTTTGCAGGCGGCCCCCTTGCCGCCCTCCGCTAGGGCGATTTTGTACTGTGGGGGGGGGCCGCCTGCAAATGGGCGGCGAGGGGGCATGGAATTTTGCAGGCGGCCCCCTTGCCGCCCTGGGGGAGGGCGATTTTTGCCTCTCCCCCTATAAAGCCCAGTCCCTCCTCTGTGAAATTTCATTATATTCACTAAAAATCCAAAAAAAAACAAAAGAGAGAGAGGGGAGGGCAGCAGAAGGGGAGCGGCGAAGCCCTGCTGGTTCGCTCAATTCATCACAGGTATGCTCCCATACATCTTTTGCATTTGTACTAATATGTTATGTTTGAGTATATATGTTGCATTTTAGTTTTAGTTCCATATATTTTAGCACATCTGTAGCACACAGCACATATGTGTAGATCCAGAGCATAGAATATAATAGTATGAATTGAGACATAGACAGTAGTGTTAATTGTAAGATGTAGTTTAGTTTGATCTGGAGAATGTAACGTAATTTTAGAAATTTAGAGAACAATATTGTAGAGAATGTAACTTAGGGCGTAGTACAGAAATGCGAGGTTAACGCAGTTATTGTTTTCATCAGGCACAATGTCAAATAAGGTCACATTTCAGATAGTTCACGGTGAAGGAAATATTAGATTTGGTCCAGATGGTGTTGATCTGTCAGATTTTGTAATGACATCTAAGGACATCGATAGGCCTGCGGAGAGAACATTTCAGTCAATTTATAGTTGGTTGTTGAGAGGATTTAGAATAGACCAAGAAGTCTACACAATGTCAGTGTCAGTTGTAGTGAGTCGTGCAACAGAAGGTTATTTTTGGGAACTAATGCCGATGGACAGCACTGATGCTTGGAGACGGTATGTGGAAATGGCTTTTGAACGGTCATGGCCCCTCGTTATATTTGTGTCGGTACAAGAGAAAGATATAAATGTTTCAATGCAAACCGAAGATGTAGAGGGTCCTATCAATGCAGGGGATGTTGTTGGACCATCGATGCAAAATGAGGAAAATCAACCAAGGGAGGAGCAGGCTATGGGCATGGCGGATGAGGGGGAGAGAGTCGGTATAATTGTTGATGAAATGGAGAGGGAAGATTCGGATAATGAGGAAGTGGACGACGACGCATCATCCGATGAGGAAGGTGATGTAATGGCCACTGATTGGGCAAATGAGGACTTCTCTGGACTTGTTATATCAGAGGGTGATCATGTACCCTGGGAGTATAAGGAGAACGAGGTAATTGAGGGTGCAAGATATGCTCATAAGGATGAGATGAAGGAGGCGGTGAAGCATTGGGCAGTTTCCTTGCAGAGAGAGTTTAGGGTGGTCAAGTCAACAAATTATGTGTATGAAGTGAGGTGCATGAAGGAAGATTGTCCGTGGCGTGTCCATGCATATAAGGGTAAATGGAATGATTATTGGAAAGTTAGCATTGTGACCGAGCACAAGTGCTACTTACAAGGGGTGGAGAAGTATCACCGAAACATCACTTCAGCTTTTGTGGCAAGTGAGATGTACAGCAGTGTTGTTGGTAACATTGGCTTTGAACCAAAATCAATTATTAGGCACATCGAGAACAAATTCAAGTACACCATAAGCTATGCAAAGGCCTGGAGAGCCAAACAAAAGATCATTGAGATGAGGTATGGCACATTTTAAGCTTCTTATGATAATTTGCCTCGTTTCTGTTTTTGTACAAAAACATCACCCCGTCGTAACTTGATGATCCATCCTCGCAGGACCTCGTTTGCCTTCGAGCGCCCCTAGCTTCGGATCAGTGCGACCTACAGCACCGGTTTCGCACGGTACAGTTCAGCCCAGATATTAGTTCATTTTTGTTTCAGCTTTTGCACGATTATGTCACCATGTTTTAACTGCACGTTTCCTCATCGCAGGACCTCGTCTGCCTTCGAGCGCGTTCGCAGGCACGACCGGCGCTTCCACGAGCTCCGCAGGGGCGTTCGCCACCTCTTCGGGCGCGTTCGCCAGCTCTTCCTCTCACGGAGCGTCGATCCCTCGCCCACACGGTACTTTACTTTTTATTAATACTGTTAAATACCTGTACGAAACTGATGGTCCTTGTCTAGCAGGATTTGCAGCCGGGATCTTCGGTACTGGGGCCTCTTTGTCTCACGCCGGTAGGACTGGTCCTACTAGCCAGTTCTACGACGACGACTTGCACGGTGCAGACCACCACGACGTACTAGGCTCCTCTCAGCTTGGAGGAGCTCCAGAGGCGCACACTCAGGAGCAGCCAGAGGTCACACCTGTACAGGCAGGACGGGTTGGCCGTGCCGTACCCCCGGACCGACTCACGTACTCCCATGGGCACATTAGGGCGCAGGGTAGGAGGGACAGGGGTAAGAGGCCTCGTCAGTAGTGTTCTACCTCTTCAGTCCTTATGTGACCGTTTCTTTTAGCTTACAAACTTGTAAAGCAGTACTACTTTTGCTATTACTACTGCAGTACTACTTGTGTTTGTCTCGTCTACATAGTTCTTTTCATTCATATGGTGCTAGAACAACTTATGCTCACGACAACACACTTTCGGCGCTGCACGGTAGTGTCAGATCCAGTAGCGCGCACAGTCTACAACAGCACACATGAAAAGCGGCAGCTCGAGTTATCACTATCAACTTTCGGCGCTGCCTGTTTACATAAAGTGAATCACGCCCACGCGTGATCGTCTTGTCACATCTAATGAATAATGTATCTCATTGAGTTCACATATATTGCAGTGAAAACGACGCTATATAATTGACAATCTGAAGGCAACCTCTTCATATCTTCTTTCCCACTAGCACACAACACACGAAAATGGAAGCCTATTCATTGGTAATACGTAATCTAGATTTGAGATTATGTAGAACATTCTTCACTACAATTTTACATTTTGGCAGCAAACCAAATATGATCAAATGCAATTTAACCTTACCAAATATTTGGTCGTGAAGAAAAATTTGGCACTAACAATCCAAATATGCCCTAAAAATTAATAAAATATTTGTACGGTAACAAAATATTTGTACGGTAACAATCCAAATATGCCCTAAAAAATAATAAAATTGTATTTTACTAGTCTTGGAGATTTTAATCTTGTATAGTTTTCAATATAAAAAGATTTGATAACTATTGATATTTATACAAAAATATAGAGCACAGTACAAAATCGCCCTTGCGGAGGGCGGCAAGGGGGCCGCCTGCAAAATTCCATGCCCCCTCGCCGCCCATTTGCAGGCGGCCCCCCGCACAGTACAAAATCGCCCTCGCGGAGGGCGGCAAGGGGGCCGCCTGCAAAATTCCATGCCCCCCCTCGCCGCCCATTTGCAGGCGGCCCCCCGCACAGTACAAAATCGCCCTCGCGGAGGGCGGCAAGGGGGCCGCCTGCAAATTTCGTTGACGGCCGTCGCCCGAGAGCGAACGGCCGTCTGCCACGTCATTTTTGCCGCCCTCTGGGAGGACGATTTTTAAAAATCGCCTTCCCAGAGGGCGGTAGGCGACTACTTCCGTCAATTTTCAAAATGGAAAATTATTTTTGTAAAACTTTTAATAAAAAAAATTAAAAATAAAAAAAATTCGAGAGTGTCGCCGCCGTCGAGTCTGGAAGCTTACTCGTGGGCCGAGATTTACCGGGCCTTGAGGCCCATTAATTGGGCCCATTGAGGCCCACGAAAGCCCACCACCCATCACCGCCACGAGCTACAAGAGCCTCGAGAGAAACCCTCCCTAAAAATTCTCTCCCCTTCCCCCTCCCCCGTCCGCCGCCACGCAGAGGGGGGACGCCGCCGCCGCCGCCGCCGACCACCTCCAGGAGGCAAGGCATCGTATCCCGGTGCTGATTCACCTGCTCCCGCTCGCCTCCGCCGCCGTCTCACGAGGTAGGTAACGCCCCCTCCGTTGCTCTACCTGCTCATGCGGGTGTGTGCGCTATTGCTGCATCTTGGTATTAGTCGATCGGATTTTGCGTGGTCGTTTTCACTTGATTCTGTAATTAGCTAGTGTGGAAGTAAGTATTTGATATTCTGTTGTGCGGTCTGTCTCTTGTGTTGATTACTTGTTACGCTTTATTCAAGCGGGTGAATCAGATTTGATGGTTTGATGGAAAAAGGATGTGATTGTTGAGGCACAGTATAGTATAGCAGAGGGCTAGCTGCTGCTAAGATTTAACTTAGCTATGGAAGTTTGGGAATCAGTGGACTCTAGTACATAATTGTGCTTCCGTTGCTGCCATATTGCTTACTGTCTGCTACATTTGGGCAAACTTTTGATACTGCCAGCTAAATGCTCGCCCTTTTGCAGTGAGTTAGAGAATAGACCATTCATCCTTTATATGGTTCAAAACAAGCAATATGTGTATATCAGATATGTTGTTCTTTCTTTTTTTTACAGTGGCACTTGATAGTGTTTGCATGTGTTAATTGTGAGATCTACTTGTGCAGTACATATATACACGTTGCTTCGAAGTTCGAACATCTTATACTTTCCATGTTAATGGTGATTTTTAAAATCCAATTATGTAAAGGTCTAGAGGATAACAGATAAAAAAGGCATGTATGTGGACTGCAGTATTAAAATGTTCAGGGAGCAGTCCATAAAAAGTTCCACTGCATTCTTTTGAAAGGTGTATAGATAAAAGAGGGAGAATTAGCTTGCTGGCGAGTTGGCCTATGATGTTTGTACAAGTTTATATGATCTCTCAGGAGGCTGTTACCGGTGCTTAGTTTTATATGTGATTTGTTTGTGGTGTATTGTTACGTTGTGTTACTGGCGCCTTGAAGTGCTTTTACAGCCTTTGCTTGCTATCTGTGCTAAGCACTTTTAAGTTGCAAAAATAAACTGGGGGTTACATCTTGTCTAATATTTTCAGATTTACTGGATAATAATCAGGACTTTAAATTGCAAGTGCTGTAGTAAATCACAGTCTGGTGTTTTCTGGAATTTATTCTCTGTTATTTTCAATTGAATGGGTTCCTATGCTTGTTCCCAATTATCTCATCTCAGAAATTTTCAGTATTGCATCCTGTTATCCTGTATTGATTTCATATCCCCTGTTGTTTGTATGACAGGAGTAGTCATCTGAGCTAGTGAAGATGGTGCAGTACAATTTCAAACGAATCACTGTTGTCCCTCCTGGGAAGGACTTCATTGACATCATCTTGTCCCGCACCCAGAGGCAAACACCAACTGTTGTCCATAAGGGATATTCTATCTCCCGCATTCGCCAGTTTTATATGCGAAAGGTTAAGTATACACAGTCAAACTTCTACGAGAAGCTGTCCACTGTTATCGATGACTTCCCAAGGCTGGATGACATCCATCCTTTCTATGGTGATCTCCTACATGTTCTGTACAACAAAGATCACTACAAACTTGCCTTGGGCCAAATCAACACTGCCAGAAATATCATTGCAAAGATAGCTAAGGACTATTTGAGGCTGCTCAAGTATGGAGACTCACTGTACCGGTGCAAGTGCCTGAAGGTGGCTGCCCTAGGTCGCATGTGTACTGTCATTAAGCGGATCAGTCCTAGTTTGGCATACCTGGAGCAGATCAGGCAGCACATGGCGAGGCTTCCATCTATAGACCCAAACACCAGGACTTTATTGATTTGTGGCTATCCAAATGTTGGGAAGAGCTCTTTCATGAACAAGATCACAAGAGCAGATGTGGATGTCCAGCCTTATGCTTTCACAACTAAGTCTCTGTTTGTTGGTCATGCTGATTACAAGTATTTGCGCTACCAAGTGATTGACACTCCAGGGATCCTTGATCGGCCTTTTGAGGACAGGAACATCATAGAAATGTGCAGCATCACTGCTCTTGCCCACTTGAGGGCTGCTGTGCTATTCTTCCTGGACATCTCTGGTTCTTGTGGGTACAGTATTGCTCAGCAAGCTGCACTTTTCCACAGTATTAAGTCCTTGTTCATGAACAAGCCTCTAGTCATTGTGTGCAACAAGACGGACTTGCAGCCTCTTGAAAATCTGTCTGAGGAGGACATGAAGCTGGTAATGGAGATGAAAGCGGAGGCTATGAAGACTCTAGGTCATGGTGGAGAAGCTAATGAAGAGGGTGTTTTGTTGACTATGAGTACTTTGACTGAAGAGGGTGTGATGGCTGTGAAAAATGCTGCATGTGAGAGGCTTCTTGATCAAAGGGTGGAGATCAAGATGAAATCAAAGAAGATCAATGACTGCCTAAATAGGTTTCATGTTGCTATGCCAAAGCCTCGTGATAACAAGGAGAGGCCTGCTTGCATCCCTCAGGCTGTTCTGGATGCTCGAGCAAGTGCTGCTGCTGCAAAGGAAAAGAAGAAGCTGGAAAGGAAACTGGAGAAGGACCTCGAGAATGAGAATGGAGGTGCTGGGGTCTATTCTGCTAGTCTCAAGAAGCATTACTTATTGGCTGATGATGAATGGAAGGAAGATATTCTGCCTGAGATATTGGATGGGCATAATGTTGCCGATTTTCTGGATCCAGATATACTGCAGAGGTGTGAAGAGTTGGAGAGAGAGGAGGGTCTTCGCCTCGAAGAGGAAGCTGCACAGGAAGCTTTCCAGATTGATGGCCATGAACTAACTGAAGAGCAGCGTGAAATCTTGGGTCAGATTAGAAAGAAGAAGGCATTGCTCATCCAAGAGCATAGAATGAAGAAGAGGACTGCAGAAAGCCGTCCTATTGTTCCTAGAAAGTTTGACAAAGACAGGACATTCACAACTAATAGAATGGGTCGTCAACTTTCATCCATGGGTTTTGATCCTAGGGCAGCTCTGGACCGAGCCCGCAGCCGTTCTAGAGGTCGCAAGCGTGAGAGGTCACTTAGCAGAGCTGCTAGTGATGGTGATGATATGGATATAGATGGCCAGCAATCCAGCAAGAAATTGCGCGCGTTGTCGAGGTCCAGGTCTAGGTCAAAATCAAGACCACCTGAGGAGGTTGTTCCAGGAGAAGGATTCAAGGACTCTGCTCAGAAGAAGAAGGCGATTAAGAAAGCTAAGGATTCTGTGAGGAACAGGAACAAGGAGGCTCGTCGCGGTGAGGCGGATCGTGTCATTCCAACTTTGAAACCAAAGCATCTATTCTCTGGAAAACGTTCTATTGGCAAGACGAGCAGGCGATAAGTAATTCAGCACTGCTGCTTAGCATCACTGGTTTCAGGTAGGTTGATGTGGAGCACTACTTAAACACAGAATTTATCACATTAACTCTATTAGTCCAGGCTGATAACTCACGTTCTACTCATTTGTAGGAAGAGCAGTATAATTGCAGTTCGGTGTTGGGATTAGGGTGAAGGAAGGCCTGTTTATCCAATCTTTAGGACTTGTTCTACGCCGTTATTCATACTGTCTGGTGGATTGGTGTTGTATCGCGTCTCATCCTTCGACTGAGACATAATTTTGTTAGCTTATGTTTCAGCTTTATGCTACATTATATATGGTTTGGCTAGTATTAATAGAGTGGTTTAATTTCGTCGAATGGTACTCACTACCATCAATATCTTATAATTGTGACTTTGTTATACTTATATTCCAGTCCTGTTCTACTGTACCGATGCTCTACTGTTTGAGATGCAATGTTAAACTTGTTGAGCTGGAACATCTTGATTAGCACTCTCCAACGCTTGAGCTGCTACCATTTTCTTTCTTTATTTTTTTCTCCCGGAGTTCCTTTTTATTTATTTCTTTTGCATAACCTCAGAGGCCTTCTGTTAATACCGTCAAAAAGAGAAATTTGACAGTGCATTCATTAAGTTCCCTGTATGTTTCTGGTAGTATATGAACAAGATTTGCATCAGCTAAATCTAGCAGGAAGAATATGCTTCCAGTTACTGCCTCTCTGGATGTGAAAGCAAAACCAAAGCAGAACGAAGCAGCTAGATTTAGGCCAGCTACCTGAATCAAACAAAGACAATGCGTTCCTAACACTCTAGGGCGGCAAAACAAAAAATGATTTGTAAATGTGTTCGTAACAATCTAAAACCAAAGACTGAAAAAAGCCCTTAAAATCAATTCTAAATTTAAAGTTAAAAATTCAAATTTTAAATTAAATATAAATTTAAAGTTAAAAATTCAAATTTTGGTTAATAAGCGTAAGCGAAAAGATGATGTTATAAGGATCCAAGGTTTTTCTTCACCAGAAGAACGGGCATATAAATGCTGCGAGTTTGCAACGATGTGATGACTGATGACGGCTACTCCACACTTCCACAGAAGTTGGAAAAATCTGCACCCTTGATTTCAACTGCACAACCCAAAAACCACACGATTCAGAATTCAGAGGGGGGGACACTGTAGAAGCTCACTACTCCTGTTTCGGAAGAGTTCCCCAGATCTACAAATTCAGCTCATTACGATCAATGATCAAATAGAAACATGTTCTTACTCCTAAATTAATTATACACCGTGTGTTCAACCAAATTCTGGAGCGTGTTCTCTATTTACAGTACAGCCATGAACAAAAAGAACAAATGAAGAAAAAGAAAAAAATGTCAGTCTTCGTGGCGAGCACTGGGCAATCAAAATCTTCTTCTGGTACGTTGCTTCGGCTGATCAACATCCAACTACACGTTGTGGCTCGCCGGCGGCGGCCTCTGCTTTCTCCTCTTGCCGCCGCCACCGCCGGCGGCAGTGCTCGCGTCCTGCGACGTCCATGGCGCCTAAAGACATGACAGAACATTATCACCAGTTCACCTCGTATCCAAAGGCAGTATACTAGTAGTAAGTAGGAGTATTAAAGAACACTTGGCAGCTTCAGGATTATTCAAATTGATGTCATTTTAAACCATAACATTATTTAATAAAGTTGCTAAATCTGTGTATCTGTTATAGTTTTTTTTACTAAACTATGATAAATACATAAGAAATCCTGTTAAAACCCGACAATATTACCAAATTATCAAAATTTCGGTATTAACAAAATTTGTTTATTTTGGCTAAAATATAAAAAGAGGCTCAATTCGCCTCCACATGTAACTTTACAGCAACAGCAGCAGCAATAAGATGCTGAAGCATAGCAAGATATTCTTTTAGAGAAGTATATTTTTTTACCCTACCTCTACATCCAACCGGATATATACAACCTTTTAAATTAGAAAGTTAGCCAATCAAATAACCAATCTGAAATTTGCTCCTTTGAATACATCCAACCAAATATATGCAGTTTTAAATTAAAAACTTATATTTGAACTTAAGATTTTGGGTTGCTCCTAGATAACTGTATCCATATACAGCAAGATTTTGATGAATCTTGCAACGACACGAACGATCTGGTGAGAGATGCTCCCTTTTCTCAAAAACCAGATCACTGACTGGTTGGCACTTGCCAGCTCAGGTATGGATCCAGCAGTTTAACCTGAAAAATTCGCTTTGGCCGACCATGTGTCCATGCATGTCAGCGATCAGCAACATCTTCAGCCATGGCAAGAATAACAGCAGAGCTTGATCTCGATCACCTCGAAATTTACCTCGAAACAGAAGCCCGAAATGCCCAGCAGGCTGCTCAAACCGGAGTCCATGTCCATCGCCGCCGGTGAGCACCGCTTGTTCACGCCCTTGCGTGAAGTCGCCGCCGCCGCCGGCGATCGTGCATTGGCGGCCGCCGGAGGCGACGGCCATGACGGCGGCGGCGGCGTCGACTGGCAGAGGCCGGCGTCGATGTCGTCCTGGAACATGTCCACGAACAGCTGCTGCAACTCCTCGAAGCTCTCCTGCGCATTTCACAAAAAAAAAAAACAAAAAAAAGCCGGTGAGCACGAATCTGGAGGCGGAATGGACGGTCCAGATGCTTCGTGTTGCTAACCGCAGGCGTCGCCTGGCTCATCATCTGCGCCATCTCGCCGAGGAAATCGCCCATCCCCGACAGCTGCGGCCAAAAAAATTAAACGAGAGGACAAAAATTCTCATCAACGCGTCCTCGAGAGGAACAGATCGAGAGGAGTAGTAGCAATTAATTACATCTGCTTCGTCGTCGTCGTCGTCGCCGTCGTTGCCGTCGTAGACGCCGACGTCGTAGAGGAAGCGCTTGTTGGAGTCGGAGAGCACTGCAAAACGCACACGAGACAATTAGCAAGAACAACAAGAAGAAGGAGAAGGAGGAGAAATGTTGAATCGATCGTGAATTAATTCGTGATGCGATCGATCGATTGGCGCGGCGAGGAGGAGTTGATTGATTGATTACCGGAGTAGGCGCCCTGGATCTCCTGGAATCGCTCCTTGGCCTCGTCGACGCCCGCCGCGCTCGCGCTGCCGCCGGCCACCGAGCACCTGTCCGGATGCCATATCTGCGCACGTAACGCGACGAGTCGTAATAAACTAGCTGATCGATCGATCGTCGTCGTCGGCGGCGGCGGCGCGGCGGAGGAGGAGAAGACACGGAAGACTCACTCACGTACGTACCATGGCGAGCTTGCGGTAGGCGAGCCTGAGGTCGGCGTCGGTGCACTCCCTGCTGAGGCCGAGGACGGCGTACAGGTCGGCGTCCGCGCCGCCGCCGCCGCCGCCGCCGCGGGCCATGTTGCGGATCGATCGATCGAGGAAAGGAAGGAAGGGTGGGTGTGGTGGTGGTGGCGTGCGGGAGCAACGCTGTCCACTTGCAGCTAGCGCGGGAAGCCTCCAGAATCTTGGCTTGGCTCTCGCGCGCGGAAACTGACTCTTCTTCTTTATTCCTCACTCTTTATACCGTCAAAATTAAAACGATTAGCTTAGCTTAGCTGTAAGTACTATTTTTCTACATGTACAAATTTGTACACACACTGCTCTTTTTAGGTCCGGTTTAGATTTCAACCTTTTATATTCAAACTTCCAACTTTTCCATCACATCGAACTTTCCTTTACACGTAAATTTTTAACTTTTCCATCATTTCGTTTCAATTTCTTCAAACTTCTAATTTTAACGTGGAACCAAATACAGCCTTACATTTAGACGAAATATGTTTACACTAACACACCGCTAGAGCTCGCCCTCTCACTAGTCACTACTCTCTGGAAGAATCGATCACTGGATGAGTACTTACTGAGTGTTTGGGAGCAATGGATAGGAGAAAATTGAGAGCCTCATAAATTGACCTAAGTCAAAGTAAAATATAAAATTTGAATTTTTGAAATTGACCTTTAAGTTAATTTTAAGATATTTTAACGTAATTTTTTTAGCGCTAGCTTTTAAGTAGTTAGGAACAAATATTTAAAATTTTTGCCTACAATTAAATTTTTATTTTCTAATAAAAATTTTTGGTTTATTAAGAAATATAGGCAAGCAATGAGGCTTTGAGTAGCGTAAATTGAGATGAGCTATTAGCGTGTAATCAATTGAGTATTAATTATTTTAAAGTTGAAAAATAGAGTAGTATGATTTTATACAGTAGCTTTCATTTTTTTAAAAAAAACAAACCGTTTAATATTTCGAAAAACATACGCATGAAAAACAAGGCAAATCTTCAACAAACGAACACAATAGATCACTGATTGAAAATGCACACAAATGTATTCACATGTCATTACCTTTCTAATTTTTTAAGTATAATTCTAAAAGTTTTCACACTTTAAATTGCTGAAAGATCGACCAGCATGCACAACGGCCGAACGGAGAGGCTTCACCGGTACTTTGCGTCGAGTGATCGAAGTACGTACTCCATCCGTAAAAAAAAAAAAAACAAAAAACAAATCCTCCTAAAAAGACAAACCCTTAATTTTCGTGTCCAATGTTTGATTATTCGTCTTATATGAATTTTTTTTTATAATTAGTATTTTCATTGTTATTAGATGATAAAACATGATTAATATTTTATGCGTGACTTGTCTTTTTAATTTTTTTATAATTTTTTAAATAAGACGTACGGTCAAACGTTGGACACGGAAATTGAGGGTTTGTCTTTTTTTAGAAGGAGGTTTTTTTTTTTTTACGGAGGGAGTACGGACAAGCGGAATCACACAAAATTCACGAGATATTTTTTTGGAGTCGCGCGAGGTGGACTCTGGAAAGTTCTCGGCCGGCAGCGAACACATCCGCCCATGCTAAGCTATGCTTTTGTGTGTCATCTCATATGATCCGTAGTACGTGGCCGACCGGCTGCCGAAAAGCGCAACCCCCTCCTCGTCCTCCTCCCGACTCTCTCGAACCTTCTCCTGCCGGTCTACAGATACAAGTCTCGCTTATACTTCTACAAATGTGAATCGTTTATCAGCAATATAAAAATAGAGTAAATCTTATAAAACCACAGCTACAGTGATAAAATTACCAGTTTGTTACAATATCCGTGAACTATTTCAGTTTGCTATAACAATAGCGTAGAAAATCTCTACTATTATAAAAATTGAAGATGTTTTTGCTAGTATTTTGGTACGTCATCCGTGTTTGAGTAGGTTTTTAAGTTCGTTCGCTTTTAGAAATACAGATCCGTGTTTTAGTTGTATTTTAAGCTCATTTGCTTTTGGAAATACAAAAGGAGTCGTATAAGAAATATCATTAAAAAAACCCGCATACTAACTTGAGATGAAATACGGACTCTTGCAGCTTATGATTTTCGAAAAAAAATATCTAAACGAATTCTCACAGTGAATTTTACCCTAGCTAAACCGTATAACAACAATAAAATTAAAATAGCATATACCCGTTGCAACGCACGGGCATTTTTTCTAGTTATCATAAAATTGTAACTTTTACGTAACATGTTGCTACAGTTATCACCTACATGTACTGTAGCAACATATCGCGTAAAAGTTGTAGTTTTTTAAAATTTACTCTTAAAAATATTTTGAAGATAAAATTTGTATATATCTATTCTAATGATTATAAAGCAAAATGATGTATATCAAACGGTAATGAAAAATAATTAAAAGTCAACTTTAAAATTAAGTTTAAAATTTAACTCGTAAGTATAAGCAAAAGCTAAACAATTGTTATAAGTATAAGCATAAATGAAACAATTGGCTTAATATTATGCACTGCGTGCTTGGTGTATGCATATGTTTACTACAATCACGTGCTCATTCTACTCTAAAATAAGTTAATCTGGATATGTTGTTTTAATACTTGTTAGTAAGGAATTGTATGCTAATTTTAATACTACTGTTAGCGTGCATTTGGTTTGAGGATAAGATAAGATTGGTCAGATATATATAGGCGGGTGTATCAGTGTAGTGGTGTGTGCACATGAACCATGTAATGGAAAAAAATAACTATCACATTTTTACTAAAGCTATAAAAAAATGGTTGTGCGCATTTTGGCATCCATCAGTAAACGCCATTGCTAATGTACTTAATAAAGCAATTAGGCCAAGTACTATAATGCTCCATATACTACCCCTAAATATACCCCATTGGATTGAGTAATGAGGTGGAGGAGAGAAGTGAGGAGAGATGGTGAACCACCTCTAACTGAAGAGGCAACCTCCACACAAATTTCAAGAGAGGTGTGAGAGTATAAGAGACATTGGTATTTGTGTACTAGAGGTGACATATTGTATATGTTACCTCTTAATTTATAAGTGAATGATGTGGATAAATTTAGATATGGTAATTACATCTATCATAACACTTGCCCTAAGCATGGATGAATAATATGTGGTGGTTCACGAAGAACATGTCCACGGAGGCTGGGCGTCGAGCATGCCTGCCCAGGTAGGAACCAGGAAAGGTTTCCTAATCAAGCAAAAGCGTAGGACGATGACGGGTAAAGCAATCTGGACGAGTACGCCACAAAAGCATCGAACTATCCAGAAACCGTTTCTGACATTGACTCGAAAAATCGTCCGGGTACAGAGCCCACTACAAGACGTGGAACTGGGCCACCTCCAAAAAGTTTTCTGGGTTTTTGTTTGTTTATTTACGTGATTCGAGAACATTCCTGCCGACCGTTTCAATTTTACTACATATACCCACGAAAAAATCTCTATAAAACAACAAACAGAAAAAAAAACTGTAAAAAAAGACATTTGCATACCTGCAAGGACTTGCATTTGTTAGTTTTATAGGGTTAGCTGAAACATAATTATGTTTACTAGGGAAATTAATTAGAAATTCTATAAACCATCGAAGACAATTTTTCCGTGGTTCAATTGGGACAGAAATGCACAACCAAATTGCAGCAGTCATGGATACCTTCACTAGAACAGTTTAGAAGGACCTAGAAACGTACTGTGTGACACAAACAGCCATGTCGGCTAGAGCTTAGCTGCCACATTTTGCATGCTCTTCCTTACTTTTGACCCACCCAGATTTATTTGTGTCACATGCATGCATGCAAGCACTTACTAATTATTTTTTTCTTAAAAAAAAGGCTATGCCAAATTGCCAATTGCTCTAGCTGCCAAGTTGCCAACCACATGCTGATCATGCATGAATATCCTGTATTGTCGGTGTGATACTAATTAATTGAAGCCACAGTCTAATTAAGCTGCCGTATACGAAACAGAGACAAAATGCTATAGTAGAGCCTCATTGACCATATTTTCTTATTAGAAAATAAAAAATAATCTATAGATAAAACTTTCATATATTTATTCGTAGAGACTTAAAAGCCAATGTAAAATAAAATCACGTTGAAAATATCTTAAAATTAACTTCAAATCAAGTTTGAAGATCCAATTTTTAGCTATTGCTTTGGTTTATTAGGCTAACCTATGGGCTCTTAATCTATGTGCTGAAATGGTGCGTGAAAAAATTCACAAATTTACGATCAAACCCTCACACAGACACACAGTCACACTGCCTTAAGCTCAGCTCGAACCAGAATGACAAAATGTGCAAGAAATCGCTATGGTCAGCGGACCTCCAGGTACGGCCTTGATGGGCTGGGCTGCAAAATGAGCACACCATCTGATCTGCCTCCAAAACCATTCGCGCCATGCCGTTCTTTCCTCGATCCTCCACATACGCGGCGTATACCATACCGCCGCCGCCGGCGACGCCCGGGCGCCCCGACGACGACAACGATCACTATCACGAAGACGAAGATAAGCCCCTGCTCCCGCCGGTGAGCGCCGCGGTGGCCGGGACACGGAGCCGGTGGTGACTCCAACGACCAGGGGCGGATTCACAATGGGGTGGGAGGTCTCAAGACCCCATTACCGTCCCCGGGACAGTGGGGCCCCCATAAACCCCCAATAATTTTTTTTCTGGGATAGTCGAGAACCCTCTAAGCCCCCACTAAATTTTTTTTCATAGATTTATAGGATGTGGGGACTGAAGGTTCGATTTATGCTGATGTAGTTTATTCAGCCCCACTACTATTTTTTTTTCTAGATCCGCCACTGCCGACGACAGCGGACGTGGGTGCGGCGGCGGAGACGGAGCGGCGGCGGTTCGTGGTGCCGACGGCGTACCTGGTTGGTCATGCCGGTGTTCCGGCGGCTGCTGGAGAAGGGCAGAAAGCGGAGTAGGAGTTCGGGTGAATTCGAGTACAGCGACGGCGAGCTCACCATGTCCATTCCCTGCGACACGGATGACTTCAAGTACATCGTCGTCATGGACACTCACCAGAACGGGCCTCGTCGACGACGGTGAGCGACCACGCCGCGGCGTCGCCGGCGCCGGCCACACATCATGCACACATGCAGTTGGGCTTTAAGCCCACGACTAAATTCAGCACATGAATTTTGTTGATTTCTTTTTTTCTTTCCTTTTCGTTTTTCTCGAGGGATTTTTTTCCTTTCTTTTAA